ACACACACATGAGCCATGAGAGAGACACACACACACACACACACAAGAGACATGAGAGACACACACACACAAGAGACATGAGAGAGACACACACACACATACATAAGAGACATGAAACACACACACACACACATTAGAGACATGAAACACGCACACACTCACATAAGATACATGAGAGAGACACACACACACACACACTCACTATCTCTCTCTCACACACACACACATCACACCCTGAGCAAAGTAACCCTACTTCTGAACCCACCTCTCCATCGGGCCCCAGAGCCCCCGTCTGGCCCTCCGCGTTCTCCAGCTTCTTCTTCTTCCTCTTCTTCTTCTTCTTCTCCTTCAGGGCCTGCACAGCTTTATGAGCGCGGACCAGCTCCGTCAGATTAGCCACATACTCATCCGTCTGCTGCAGCAGATACGCCAGACGCTTGTCCTTCTTCTGGTCAATGAGCTTCCGGTAACCCTTGAGTGTATGAGTGAGTGTGTGTGTGTGTGTGAGTGAGTGAGTGAGTGAGTGTCTGAGTGAGTGAGTGAGTGAGTGTGTGAGTGTGTGAGTGAGTGAGTGAGTATGTGTGTGTGTGTGTGTGTGTGTGTGTGTACCATCAGGCGTCTCATTCGCTCTTTCTCGATGCGCTCGTTCTCTTTCTTCTGCTCGCGCTCGGTGTTGGCGTGGTATGTGGCCACAGCTTTGGTCAGTTTCTGGATCTTCGCTGTGATGGACCGATGGTACTCCTTGAAGTCTTTGGCGTGCTGCAGGATGCTGTTGAGATATTCCTGCAGCAGAGCAATGAATCATGGGAATTAACACAGTGACTGAAGTGAGCTACAAACGTCTGAGAGCACTTGTGGAAATGTTTCTTATTTTGCATTCTCCTGTAATTTAATACTAAATATTTCATTACTAATCATATGATCAGCATCACAATAAGAGTGACCAACTGAACTGCAGAAGGAAGATGCATGAGAGAATCAGTCAGCATCTAAACCTGATCATCATGTTCTCCAGCAGGACCTGAGAAGATCCACGGAGCATCTTCAGCTTCACTGGAAGAACAACATGATCACTGATCTTCTGATTGGTTGCTTAGAAATAGAGCTCAATCTGAAATATCTGTTTCTTTTACATTATAACTTTTCCTTTAAAATCATAAAATGAGCTGTTTATTTGCTAGTTTAAATTAGATTTTAAATCCCAGATATCCAGTGTGCTCTCAGGCGTTTGGAGGAATCAGAGAGCTGCTGTGAGTGTGCTAGAGCCGCTTGCCTGGTGTTTCTGCCTGCGTTTGCGTTCCTGTTCGATCTTCTGCTGTTTCTCTAGTTTCTCTGTGATTCGTGCTTCACGTAACGACTGTCTCTTGTTGCGCTTGTAGCCCTTTGAGTCCAGTGAGGTTTCTAAGGCCGTGTCGCGTCTCATGCAAACCACCACCTCCTGACGCAGCTGTGAAGGCAAACAGACGAACATCAGAGCGCTTTAGCAGAGGATGTTCAACAGATGCACTGATGCAGTGGAATATGTCAGTAGATTGATGTGGATCACAGCGTCAGTCCGGGTTCATCACCTGTCTCTGGAAGTTGAGCAGTCGGAGCGCTTTGAGCTCAATTGTGGCTTTGGTGCGCAGATCTCCAGGCAGAGACCCTGGAAGATTCTCCAGCTCCTGAATACGGTGAGTGATACGAGCTTCCAGCCTGCAGAGACACAAAGCATCAGAAGTCCAGGAACCACTCGGCAGTGAAACTGAGCCGGTGCAGTCCGCACGAACGAGCCGATTTGTGCCTGAAAAACTCACCAACTATCACCAACAATCCTGAATACGTGCAGTCAGCCTTTCCAGTTAAAAGGTACATATTTAAACACTATCACAGTGATTTGAAATCTATGTACCTGTATTAACTCTTTCTCCACCAGTGTTTTTGATCGGCAGATTCTGGACTCATTCAGGAGATGCGTAATAGCGCCCCCTGGTGTATAACAGCAAGAACACGGAAACCAGGAAAATTCCGTGTTTGGTGGGGAAAGAGTTAAGAACAGATAACCGAGTAAATCACTTCAGTGCAGGTTCACTAGAAGCCTGAAAAAGCGTCATCTCTTTTGGTTTAGAGGAGGTTGGTTTAACGAGCAGCGGTGGCAGTGTTCTCTGAGAGCGATCGTTTGTTCTCCGCCTGCGGTTCTGTCAGGGTCAGGGCTAGGACTCACCTGTACTCTCTCTCCTGCATGATCTCCACCGGGTCCAGACCGCAGGGCTTCTGAACCGGCGTGATGCGGTTCTGCTTCTGGTGCAGCGGCACCATGGTGGCGGGCTGAGATGAGTGGCCCAGGTGTGCTGGAGACTGGGTCTGCGGTGGCATGGCCGGAGAAGCGGCCGGTGGCACAGACGGGGGTGCAGGAGAGGGGCGTCCGGTGGGCTGCAGCGGCATCAGCTTCTGAGGAGTGTTCGAGGGGGTCGCCGCATTGACCAGAGGACCTGCCACACAGACACACATCATCACAGGCTGCTTTACCAGAGTTAATGCTGCTCAATGTGAAAGCCCGCAGGTGATGGAGATTTACCGCTGATTACAGAACCGTCTTTACTGACAAGATGCGCATTAAATATCGCATGCAATTTATCGTGCAGCCCTACCACAGACGAGTGCAGCGAAGCTGAATGTTCAACACACTTCCACTCCATCAGGACTGAGCATCATTCAGAAGAGAACCAAGAAATACACTTCAGTCTGAATTAGGAGCGAGGTTACGCACACAACGCATAACTATCAACTATCAGAACAACCATGAACAGCTCAGATACATGTGTGGTAGATTAAGTGTGTCAGATGTGCTCACCATGTCCTCGGCTGAAGCCGGCGCTCACTCCGCCGGGGGGCAGGCTGGTCAGAGATGGTCCCTGGGGCATCCCTGGCATGGGCCGCTTGCCCTGCACCGCCATCTGCAGGTGATCTGGGAGCGGCTGCCCACGCGCCAGCATCTTATACGCCATGATCTGCGCCCGCAGCTGGTGCAGCTGGCTCTGGTTGAAGGGCGTCGGAGCGGAGGAGCCGCTGGGGCCCGGGGCCGCGCTTTGGCTTCCCAGACGGTTCTGCTGCGGGAGGCACTGGCTGTCCACACCGTCCAGCGAGGCAGAGCTAGAGCCGGAGGTGGACAGGAGAGGACCTGATGGAGGCCCGCTGGCGGACACGGGACTGGACACGTGCTCTGAAGAGCCCAGCGGAGACGGGTATCCTGCAGGAGGAGACAGAAGAGACACATGTCAGTCTAACAATAAAACATCGTCCTGTTTGTAACGGAACAGACAGCAGCGCTTCTCAAATGCTGAGTCTCATGTAGCAAAGTAAAGCAACGCTGAATGCACAAATTAAAATGCAACTAGGGAGCCGAAAACGGACATGCGTCAGACTCTACTAGTTAAACGGCCGTTTGTCTGCTGCTGGTGAAGTTACCTTGCGAGTGCTGGTCCATCGGGCTCCCTGGACGGGTCATCCTCATCGGAACCACCTTCATCTGAGTGAAGCGAGCGTCTTCTGAAAGGTTCTCCTCCACCGGCTTTAGGACAAAGAAAGACATCAATAGAGATATGACCTCTGCTATTTGGCATTTAGATTGATTTATATTTCCACCTTGTGCATCTGGTGCAGACTCTCCTGGCTGTATCCCGCAGGCGCTTGCGGAGGAAAGGAGAGTCCTGTAGAAGTGGCTGGTCCGGGACTGGGGCCCATCATGCTGTGTGAGGATCCAGGGGACAGTCCAGACCCCAGGATGGCCCCTGGAGACGGGCCCGGACCAGGCGAGGGCCCCGGGCAGGGCGTGCCTCCTAACGGGGGCTCCGGGGTGGACATGCCACCAACTCAGCCTGCATTCAAGGTTTAGGACAGAACGTTTGTGCCCATTAAAATCTGACTTTGTGAACTATACCATAACAATGTTTTATCATAATGTCTGCTCTCTGTTTCTATCGAAGCACACTTTATTTACATGATGTCCAAAGCAGTGCTGCAGTTTTGAATCTACAGGTGCATCTCAATAAATTAGAATGTCGTGGAAAAGTTCCAATTAAAAGAACCAAAGACTTAAACTACTTCAGTCTGTGTGCATTGAATTTATTTAATACACAAGTTTCACAATTTGAGTTCAATTACTGAAATAAATGAACTTTTCCACGACATTCTAATTTATTCAGATGCACCTGTAAATGTCTCCCTCTGGGATCAGTGATGCTTCATAACAGGATCAGCTGAAGAAGTGAATTACAGACTCATTCAAATAATATCAGCGACTGGCAAAAATCACACCTTAATAGCAGTCCCTGCATCTTTCACCAGTTGATTTCTTTTTTTTTTCAGTATCATTTTATAGATTTTTGAATGTAATATTTTAGAGTTGATATCTATTTTACTCATGAAAAATTCCCATCTTGAGATTGTGTTGAGTTTCCATGACTTTTCCGGGCCTCAGAACCACCATTTCTAATGTCTGTGTATTGTCCAGGTGTTCTGTGATGCATGATGATGCTGATAATGATTCTGCAGGACCACCAGAGCAGGTCCACTCATTCCTGCCGCTGGAAGCATCAAGCAGCGGCTCGTTAAGGGAAATAAGCCATGCATGAACATTTGACAGGAAAATTAAATGTCGTCCAGCTCGAGCCGCTGCAGCGATCCTCCGCCGATGATCTGCGCCTCCGCCGCCTCGAGCTCGCGTCACACCGATACAGCGCGACGGAATCATGGCGTGCGACGCGGCCAGACAGGCTGATGTGCTCGTGTTCACACTACAGAGATGAATACGATAATAATTCCTTGTGTATTTCATTAGACTTACCCTCGATATAATGAGTGAGGCGGACGCGCTGGAGCTGATGACGGAGCCCACGGTGCGGTTAATTACCGAGCAGCGCCGCCGCATCCGCTCCGTTCGTTCATTCGGTCGATGCTCATGTACGGAGCGCCGCTGCGGACACAGAGATCGAGAGAAAGCGAAAGAGATTACATTTCTAAGTTATAAAAAGATATGTTTAATATTATACAAATTATATTTTGTCTTTTGATGTTTTTCTTTAGGTATGTAGGGCAGAGTTGTAACAACTTATGTTCATTTCTGACCAGTTTCTGTTTACCAGTACCAACAAAATGAATATCAAAAACCTATAGCTGTATCTAACATATATAATCATGCTCTTAATCATGTTCATAGAGACAGATATACATCATCCATCCATCAGGTCATTTACAAACATGTGTACTGTACGGTGGTGGTGATGCTGGAGCTGCAGGCAGGGGAACTGCAGGTTAAAACTATCCAGCTTGTGTTGTTTTCAGCCCAGCTGATGGGTAAATATAGGGCTGAACTAACCTAACCCATGGAGTTATGCTGCCCATCACACAGAGTCAGACGGATGATGACTGCTCTAACTTGAATAAGACAAGAAAACTGTACTCGTTTTACTCAATGTTGTTCATTTTTTTCTTTCAGGATTTTCTTTGTATGCAGCAAAACTGAAAATCCGTTGCTGATAAAAATGTACAATTATTTTTCATGCTGATAAAAAACTGAACCAGAGAAAGAGAGACAGAGTGTGTTTGTCATCAACACATGCTGTGAACGGCCTGAGAGACACAAAGAGCTTTATACGCTGTGAAGAACAATATTCACACTGGCATCAATCAGAATCTGGCTGTCGATATAGAGATCCTTCATGAGAGGACTGGATCCGCTGAACGGCACAAACACTGCACTGAAGAACTGAAACACATGCAGAAAATGACAAACACGCCGTAATAAAACTGAAGAACATTATCAATAGCATTCTCGATTTACTGCAATGGACATAATAAAGGGACACTCTTGAATTTCTTCTCCCAAAAAACTCACAATCTTGTGAAGCTGAAGAATTTAGTGTTTTGAAGGTCATTGTGTTATGAAGTGTTTTTGTGTGATGGAAGTTTGTCATGTTATGGTAGAATAAGATGATTTTGAGACACGTACGAATGGTTGCAGTGTGATTTAGGACAGGGATGAACTGATGTGTGAGAGTTTAAAAGAAGTGAACTCAATCAAGAATCATGGAATCAATTAGTGTAAATCATGAGGACAAACATTTTTAACACAAAAGATACAAACCTATAATTCACTACATCTCAAAATCTGCCAAACTGCTGCTTCACTTTGTGTTTTGAACAGTCGTGTGTGTGTATGTGTGTGCATTGAGTGTGCGTGTGTGTGTGAGTGCGTGTGTGTGTGTGTGTGTGTGCGTGTGAGTGTGTGTGTGAGCGTGAGTGTGTGTGTGTCTCATCAAGCACACAGTAGGGGAACTGATATTATTAGCATGTGTGAAACCCAACAGATATAAAAA